TCAAGGGTATTTAAAATCAAAGGGTTTTGGAGATAGATGTTTTTTTTTGCCAATTCGAAATTAGATTTTTTTTCCTTCGTGTTTTTGAAAATATCCGTTGCTGTTCTCTAGCCTTCTTGAACGATTTCAAAATACGCTTTTCTGCTTTTTAATTTTTTATTTTTAAAAAAAACCTTCACGCAATTAATACAAAAAGTAATTTTTTGCCTTTTTTAAGTGCTATTTTACATTAATAAAATTAATTATATATCTGTAATGTTTTTCATAGCTGGTCTTTAAAAATCATTGCTGTTCTCTAGCCTTCTCGAACGATTTAAAAAAACGTTTTTCTATTTAATTTTTAATTTCTTAAAAAAAAACCTTCACGCAATAATACAAAAAGTACTTTTTTGTATTTTTTAAGTGCTATTTTACATTAATGAAATGAATTATAAATCAGTAATGTTTTTCATAGCTGGTCTTTAAAAATCATTGCTGTTCTCTAGCCTTCTCGAGCGATTTCAACGAAGTTTTTTCTATTTTTTTAATTTTTTAAAAAAAAAACCTTCACGCTATAATACAAAAAGTACTTTTTTGCATTTTTTAAGTGCTATTTTACATTAATAAAATGAATTATAAATCAGTAATGTTTTTCATAGCTGGCCTTTAAAAATCATTGCTGTTCTCTAGTCTTCCTGAACGATACAAAAAAAAAACGTTTTTCTACTTTTTAATTATTTTGAAGAAAAAAAAAACTTCAAGCAATTAACACAAAAAGTACTTTTTTGTATTTTTTAAGCGATATTTTACATTAATAAAATGAATTATATATCTATCTATCATGTTTTTTATAGCTGGTCTTTAAAAGTTTTTCATCTTGAGAAATATTTTTTATAACTATTTTAAGTTAGTTCATAATAGTTATTAATGAATGTAGTTATTAATGGTCATAACAGTTATGACCGATTGCAGTTATTCATGTACATAACTGTTATTAACAGCAACTTTAGTCAGTGCTTTCTATGCTGCTTACGGAAATTGAGCGAAATGTTAATCAAGAGTAAAGCCGCAGTCTTCCTAAAATTAAAAGCCTTTGTAATTTGATTTTTTTAACTTCAAAAAAGTTACTTTAAGAAAGAAATGCGTGAGCTCATAAATTGTATGGAAACATTATGAATTATTCATTCATTTTAATAATTTTCATCAGAATGAGAAAACCTCAGAAAAATTGAAATTTATTTTATAAAAATTCATTCACTATTCTATATCTTTAAAATATTTATCCGCTTTAAGACCGAGATAAGTCTTTTCAGAATGATAGCAAATCTATAAGTTTTGCTTCGAATTTAATGCTCTGTGTCTATTTCTGTTCATTATTTTCCCTAGCAAAACTACTTTGTAAAACAGCCTAATATTTTTACCTAATAATCTGCTCACTGATTTTGACTTGCATAAAAGCTTTAATTTTTCTAATAATTTTGTTTTTAGATTTGTAACAGCCAAAAACTTTTAAAGTGAATCAATGATACATATTTTTAATATATATCATTTTTTAACTAATTTTATTATTTTCTAGTATACTTAATTTGTTTTTAAAAAAATGGTAACACAGAAATAGTGCATCTTAATAATATTATCACTTACTCCACGCACTTACCCAAATCAGGTAAATACTGGTAGCAACATCGAGTTTTAGAATTTTTTAGTTAGTTTTAGTGTTTTGATTTTATTTGATTGATTTATTTATTTTAAATTTTTACTGATTTTTAACTCATTTTATAATGTTTAACCTATTTTATATCATTGGTTGATTCCATTTCAAGAAAAAACGTTTTCAGAAATAGTGTTTTTTTATAATATAACCACTGGCTCAAGTCACTTACCCAAATCAGGTAAATGCAGGTCCCACAACTCCGAGTTTTGAGCTTTTTTTAGTTTGTTCTGATTTCTAGTCATAAATTTATTTATTTATTTTGTTTTGATGATTTTTACATCTAACTTAACTTATTACATCATTTGATTTTATAACAAATTGTGTTTAACTCAAATGCTCTAAGTACCGTCGAATAAGGATTGACAAATTTATAAAAATTTAGCTAAGGCTTCCAAAGCCCCAGCGCTAAAATATGTGCTGCACGGCCCGTTTACTAACTCTACGAGCGTAACGTTTCCAAAAAAAAAATATCACTAATATAAATAGTTAGGGTTCATCATGATTGCCATACTGTTAATTTTTGTTTATTTATTGATACGCAAATGTGAAGTTATTTGTTAAACATATTATGATAATTGTGAAAGCAAATAGAGTTACGTTCTTTTTACTTGATAAGTTTATTTTTATTGCAAGGAGAAATATCGATATTTATTCTAAACTTTTAATTATTGTATGCCTTTTCAATAACTTAGAACACATGAATTTGCTCACTATCAAAATATCCAAAAGTTTTGATCTAGGATATACGAGCATTTTAGTAAACTAGACTTGGTGTCAGGGGGGAATATAAATGAACTCGAAGATTCGGAAAAAAATGCCAAACTGAGTTTTGTATTATATCGAGCATAGGGATTTTTGTAGATCGTATATCTTTTTCTTGACACATAGTGTATTTCCCATTTTTTATGCTATATATGTGAAAATTATATAAAGATTCAATTATTTATCTTGTATCAAAATTCAGCACTTTTATCAGGGTGTCATTTCTGATCATTTAATACAATCATTTACAAAGTAAATTATACGAATTGAAATCGATACAAATGCGGAATATTTTATTTTTATTTACTTTTTTTAAACTAATATAGCAAATTAAAATTCATTATTTTGTTGCATTAAACATTTATTCTGTTAACACTGAGTTATTTTTAGGTTATTAATACATTCTCTAGCTATATTTACCAAGTCGAAAAAAATATATAATTTCAGCTTAATAACATTATTACTTAAAAAAATTGTGATCGCCACAAACATCCCTGAAAGCCCTTATATAGCAAGATGGAAAAGTGCAAAAACTGGTACGAAAGACATTTCATTTTAGCATTTTTTTCGAGAAAAATAAAACATCTGTAACTATCAAGATTTCTTTTATAATTTTAGTCTATATATGAAACTGCTTATTTTCCAAGGATAATGTATTAAATAGTTTTAAATAGTTTNTTAGCATTTTTTTCGAGAAAAATAAAACATCTGTAACTATCAAGATTTCTTTTATAATTTTAGTCTATATATGAAACTGCTTATTTTCCAAGGATAATGTATTAAATAGTTTTAAAAAGAATTAGTTAACTCCTCCCGGAAACGAGTTATAACCGAAATGGTTTTACTACCAGCCATTCCTCTTTTCCGTCTCGCTTTCACCCCTGGCCACAAGACGATCACAGGGTACACATTGACAAAATGGTTGTTGTCTAATTTTATTTTTGAAAAAAACAACTATATATTGTGTTTTCATCTTGGATATCCTTAACTGTTAATCCTGAACTGCTCGGTACACAATTTCGCAGACATATTTGAATGCAGATCAGACACATTCTGTGTAAATTCTTTTGATGACTGAATAGACATTGAACAGCCAATCGAGATCAATATTAACATTTTCGTATTGGTACAATGGTGTTTGAAGGAGACTGTAAGCTGCATCATACCTCCGTTTCGGATTCACAAGTTCATACATTAAATATGATTTGAAAGCTAGGCTCCCTTTTTTTCACTTTTACATGAATAGCGAATGAATGGTTTATATTGCGTGGAAGAAAGTCTACGATCTTGTGCAAGTCATTGGGTTCTTTGACAGTGAATCCTTTTATCCTTAACTGGTGATCAACACCCAGTTCTCGTTTTTGCATGAAAGGGGTTCGGAGAGCCATCATTTGCTCTTCGGTAGGGTTCAATTCTCTCAACCACTTTGGTACTTTTGTAAGGGACGGGCTTCATGCTGGCGTTTGCTAACGGAATCCTTTCGTTTTTCCGTTTGTGTGTAACGCTTAAGGTATTCCCGTCTGTGTTCTTTGGCTTTGGCATCGTTTTTTTTTTTTCTTGCCTCAACTCTAACATTTGGGATCGCGTCAATCAGTTTAGACCTTCTTTATTTGTGATATTCACCTGAATTAGTATAGAAAACGATTCAGTTTGAATTGTAGGTTAGAATTTCTGAGTCTTAATTAAAACAATAAAAACAAAAATAGCGTTCAAATGATGAAATTCTTTCTTTTTTTCACAACTCAAGAAGTATTTAAGGGATCTCTCTGGTCCCATATCTCAAAAATAAACTCACCAACTTAATGCATAACAAATTTAAAAGTGAAGAAAAGAATTCCATAAGCAAAAATATATCTAACTGATTTTTTTATTAAGCTATTAGAATGTTTTTTATTATTAAACATACCAAAATATATTTTTACTTGTAATTAGCGAGTCAGAAAAAAATATGTGAGAGCTACTCCGGTGTAAAAAAAAAAGAATTCCATAAGCAAAACTATATCTAACTGATTTTTATTAAACTATTAGAATGTTTATTATTATTAAAAATACCAAAATATATTTTTGCTTGTAATTAGTGAGTCAGAAAAAAATATGTGAAAGGTACTCAGGTGTAAAAAAAAAGAATTCCATAAGCAAAAATATATCTAACTGATTTTTTATTAAACTATTAGAATGTTTATTATTATTAAAAACACCAAAATATATTTTTACTTGTAATTAGAGAGTCAGAAAAAAATGTGTGAAAGGTACTCCTGTGTTCCATCTGCATCAAAGGGTTAAGTACATGCAAATCCAATGATTAGCTTAAAGTTCATTTAGGATTTTGTGAAAAGTACTTATACTTTTTTAATGAGACAGTATTTAAATAGTTAAACATTGAAAGGAATGTATTTTAGCTATCAACGGTCAGCTGCATTTAAATTTACGCAATTTCTATTAACTATTAGCTTGTACATTTTTAGAATAATTTTTTTTTTCAATTATAAAATGTGCATTAGTTAACATGTTGGAGAATTGATTTCGGCAAAAAAATGACACTAAATAATTTCAACAAAAACTTTAATAAAACACATATACTCAGAAAACAACATCTGTCAGACTTATAAGCAACAAACATATTTAATAATCAATTGTCTTAAGTAAAGAATTTTTAAAACGGTGCATAATGCAGCCTTTAATAAATTTTCGGTACAATGTAATACTATCAAAGAAATCAAATAAAACTTAGATTACAGTTTCTTGAAAAAATGACGTAAAAATATTTCATAACACAAATAAAAAATTAAAATGCAATTTTAGTTATTCATATTTAAATTGAAATTTTTTTTTAATTATTTAGGCAATGCTTAAAATAATTGTAAGTGTTTACTTAACAGTAAAAGTATCTGAGAGTTTTGAGTATTCTTTTCCAAAACTAATTCTAAATATATTCAGCGAATTAAATACTCATTTAATATGTTTTGGAGTTACTTCCACTTGCCGTAATTTACTTCCGTACTTGGATGTAAAAGTTTCAGAAGTAATCCTCTCTTTTAATGCTATTTAATTCTGCACTGTAAAAAAAAGCTGCTAAATTCAGGGAAAAACTGTCAGCTGATGTACCAGTATAAAACCGTTTATTTTACAGAAAAATACTAATATTTAAAAACGGACGCCTGTTTTTTAGCAGATGAGTATTTTTATATATATTCATATAATTTATATTTATATAATGTAATATAATTTATATTTATATAATTTGATATAGTTTATATTTATAAATTATTTACTAGGTCAGCATTGTGGGCGGCGAGAGAATTTGTACTGCTAGTCAGCGCTGGGATTCAAACCTGGGTCACTGTTAGGCGAGTGCTTTGAACCGAAGCTCGTTTTCTTTTATGAAGAAAGGTCTTAAACTGTCTTTATCTTAAAAGTCATATTGATATCATATTTAAGTGTAAAAATATTTAAAACTATCGTGATCTACTCTTACAAAATTGACTGGCAACTTAAATAGCCAGAACATTATATCTGAAGAAACATAATGGTCCGGTTTAGCATCATTTGATCCAGTTTAGCATCCTTTTAACAAAAAAGTCAATTCGTAGTCTTACTTATAAAATTTTCAAAACTATAAAGTAATTGCTGAAAAATAAAGGCAAATATAGAAAATAATCGTAAAATGATTTGAAAAAAGATAAAAGTTATGGTACGGTAAGCGATATTAGATGACAAAAGCTAGAATTTTAACTGACTGTTTTAATCCATTTATGATAAGGGTAAAAAACAAAAAAAAAACCATTTTGTAAAAAAAAAAAAAAAAATAGTTTCAAATCGTCAAATATACAGAGAACAGAAATTGTTTATATTTCTCGGATAACGGTTAAGAACAGAAAAAATCTGTATTTTTCTTTATCCAGTTTTTTTCCGTGAATGTTTTTCCCCTGCAGAATTTAGTTATTTTTTACTGTGGGATATTAAGGTTTCCTAATGAACTCGACAACGTTAAACCATATTTCTTTAACATATTTTTCTGTTTCAAAAGCAAAAAAAAAAAAAAAATCTACAAAAGGTTTATCATCAAAACATTCCGAAACCGAAAAACTTGAAAAAAGTATAAGGTTAAGGAGAGTGAAGACGTTTGGAAAACCACGGCATCAAAATTAAAGAACATTCCAATAGTAGACTTTAAAAGTTGTTTCTGAAATTTTTACATCCGTTTAAAGTAGTGAATTAAGGCAAATGGAGGCTACTTCGAAATACATAAATATATATTCATGTTTCCAGGAGTCCTAGAAACTGATTTCAAAGAAGGGTCAATTTTAAGCCTTCATTAAGCTTGTCTAATTTCGCCATATGATGGCCGCGAAATAAACGGAGGGATTGAGCTGGTGTTTGCCTTTACTGTTCAATAAAATGTGGCCTATCGAATCGTAAGATTAAAGCTATTTATAAGAAATATTCTAAGTAGAGTTTGCCTATACTTAAACATTAATAAGAACGAACATTAACCGAAGTTTAATAAGAAACGCTTTTTAGTTGCCCTTTTTCCATAAATAGTTCCGTTTTTCACCTTATATTTCTTGAATGGCTATTACCACGCAGCAAATGTTTTGGAATTATTATCAGATTAAACCATGGATAATCTTTTCACAAAGATAAGCAATACAAATTATGCATATGTTTGTAACTTTCTATTGTCTTTTGATGAGTAAAACTTAGTTTAATTTTAATTTCTAAAGCTTCTGAAGTGATGACTCTACAAATTGTTCATCAAGCAAGAAAATTCGGAATAGCTGAATGCATACAACAAAGCATCTAGGAAAAAAACCTCATAAGTATTCACTCCAAGTTTCTAGAATATTTTTTATCCTACAGCAATGCAAATATTATCAATGAATGCGAAGTGTCTTTTTTATTAGAATTTCTATGTTCGCGAACTGCGAAACTTTTTAAGTTTTCAATGTCCTCAAATTTTAAAGATTGTTTCATACGGAAGGAAATAGCTTAGCTGTTTCTCCTAAACTATGAATGCTACTTTTCTGAAAGCAATAGAATCAGGAAAAAAAGAACTATCATCTTCTTAAGTAACTAATCATTAATGAATTCTGAAATACCCAGACACCATTTGATAATAACTCAACTTATTTTAAACTTCAAGCAAGAAAAGTACGTTAACATGCCTATCCATACGTGCCTAAGGCGAAAAGGCCTTACATTAACATGCCTATCTCTGAACCCTGATGGTAAATTATTGATGGACGAATAATGAAATTCTTAGATCTAAGCAGTACCATTGAAAGTCACGTGAATAATAAATACTCAAATTTCCACAAAATTTTTGTATTATTTAATAAGCTCATATTTTTTTTCACTACGCTAGTTCGGCTTGCTTCCGAATTTAATTGGGAACACACTAAGATTGGCACAATAATTTCAAAAAACACATACTAGATCTCAAAACCTATCACAGACACCGACTGTAAGTATACCTGCGATCACATGTCTCGCATTGGACGTCGCAGCAATATTGAAACCTGCAATTGCAGTTTACCCTATGTGTTCTTCTAACAGCTTCGTAACCTCTCCCACAACATAAGAGCTCGCAACCGTCGACCCCCATCGACGAGTGATTGCAGTGTCTTCCTTGAGTACCCAGAGAGCCAGTTTTCTTGTCTGGCTCACAGTAACTTGGCGACTCTTCGGTGTAAACAATGTCCTCTTTAGTTGGAGGCTTGATAGTTTCGCCTTCCGGTATGAATCCTTGGCCATCGTTCCCTGGCATCACTTTTGCGGCCCCGTCGAAGCGTTCTTTCAGATAATTGCCAACTTCTCGGAATAGTGGTAATTTGCGCCAAGTTGATTTCACGGCACATGAACCAGACATTCCATGGCATTTATATACGAGCTTCATGTGCTTTTGCACTGCCTAAAAAATAGAAACGGATCAGGTTGCAATTATTCTCATCAATAAGTAAAAACTAACCTAAGATATTATTTCTAACTATATATAAATCTCTTATGATGGTGTCGCAGTTTTCTATAGTTATCGGTGCATTTTTATTGACTGGAAAATCACACGGTAGCATCCAGTTTTCCAACATTAATTTCTATGTTTTTTGGTTGCCATCAGCATAAAATTAATAAAATTCATAAAGCATTAATTTCCAGTACAATATTTTTGCATCCCAATTTTAAAGGTGGGTAATATTTGAGGGTGCCCCTTGATTCTTGCCAAGTTGTGATCGCGGTTGATCGCCAAGCTGGGCGATGTTGAAACCCAATCGTGATTCTGATTGGTTTAGATTTTAACGTTATTTTTAAATGTTCAAGTGTATATGTAATTTCAGAAGTCCGTTAATTCTACGTTGGATACCAACTGGTAAGGTTACTTTTGCTTCTGGGCAATAAGTTCGAAGGTATGTGGGCAGTCATAAAAAGGGACTTTGGAAAAAAATGTCACCGTCAGTGCGGTACCACAGACGCCATTTTCGATTCGTATTTCGCCGAATTCATGTGGCGATGGAGGTACACAGATTTTATTCATGATAAATTTAGACAGTATCTAACTGCTATCAGAAAACTCTGTGTGCCTAAATCTGAGGATATTCAAGCTTAATGAAGACGCGAGTTGCTTTTTTCCTTTTCTTTCTGTGCTTACTCCATTAATTTTTGTTTCGATTCAAAATGCATTTTATTGGGTTTATTAATTTTGCTTATATTGGGTTTATTAATTTTGCTTATATTGGGTTCATTTCAATTTTATAAAGCTTTGGCCGATGTTTTGTAGAAATTTTCCAATGTTTTATTGAAATATCATTATGTTTTGGCCACCATTCCAGCAGGAATGGTGCCCAAAACCGTGGTAACAGAAAACACGATGCTCCGCGCAAACAGGAATAGCACCAAACATAAGTCGCCAATTTCGGTAAGGGGCACCCTCAAGTATATTTTTACCTTTAAAGGTATATTTAACAGTACTATCTGCTTTTCTTATTTTACTCTCCTGTAATTAAGCTTTCGATTTTCATTGTTTTCTAAATTAAGAGTTAATTACTAAAACAGTTGTTTCTTTATTGTAACGTAATTTTATGATATTATTTTATTATGCTGCACTGAAAGATAAATTTATTTGAATCGATGTCTAACCTTATTATCTGTACTACAATCATTATTCTTTGGTGTAAATTACATTAATATTATATCATAAATTACCGTTTAAAACGTCCGTTAAATGATTTAAAACTTAACGATCAGCTTTATGCACAAATTGTATTTAATAAATCCCCTTGTTTGTTAAGCGAAAATATTATATTACGGCTGTGAACTCGTCGAAATTACAACAGTATGCCTTTAATTTTAAATGTTAATTATTTTTAAAAACTAATACTAGGCGAACTTTTTTTCATCAGCTAATAAATCTTAATAGAATCATAAAGGAAATAGATCTTTAATACTATTTATCAATCAAATTTGTTTCAAACAATTAATTTGAGCTCAGGGTATAGAGCACTCGCCTTCCAATGAGGCGAACCGGGTTCGAATCCCAGTCGATACGAATTCCGCATCCGTCTTGCATCGATTACAGTGCTGATGTGAAATATTCTCACTGGTAGACGGATCATGGGTTAGAGTCCCCTTGACGTCAGGCTAACCGTGGGAGGTTCTCGTGGTCTTTCTCTCCATGTAACACAAATGCGGGTTAGCTCCATCTAAAAGTCCTCCACGAAGGCAAATTTCTCCCAATACTCGATCTAGGAGTTCCTTTGTCTTCTGGATTGGGCTCAAAATTGCAAGGTTACGAACTTTAGCATTAGTAGTCGTAAACCCATAATATTAGGTCGGCTGTTCAACGACTGTTATATATATATAAACATTTACTTGAAGAAACAAATGTTGAACCGAAGAAGTGGGGAAAAAGGCGTAATCAACATATATCAACATACTATAGTACATATATTTTAAGTGAATAATTTCAACTTTCTTAGAAAAAAAAACTGTTTTATGCTTCGAAACAATAATAATTACGAAGTAATCAATGAGATTAGTGTGGGGCAGCGAGCATGGAGCTTAATCCCTTAGTCTAAAGTAAAAATTAAATATCATTAATATTTAAAAACAACTTGTCATATTAATATGATAAAAATAAAGAAAATAATTCCTTAACAACTTCATATAAATCATGCTTGTTTTCTACAAATCACAAAACAGGTAGTTAACCGATTCCTGTTTTCTAAAACAGTAAAGAGACTTATTATGTCGTAAATGAAATGCTGCCATTTATCGCAGTTAATAATATTTATTTATGAGTAACAGTTGTTATTTCTAATAAGACTTCATTCAATGAAAGTTTGAAATAACGTAAAAGAAGATGAAATTTTTTGCTGTCCTTTGTCCACTATTTCTCACTTTCATTATGATCGCACGTTTTTGTCTTTAAGAGACAAATAAATTCATGAGAGTGAGAAGTTGTTTTGAAATCTACGCTTACGGGAACAATTGCTATGAAATTTTATTACTCAAATGGCAGCCATTCATCACAATAACTTAAAAAAAAATTTTAAAAAAAAGAACACTTATGTTTTATTATTATTATTTCCCTTATATCCAATTATTATTTCCCTGAAATTTGACACTCCGTTTAAAGTTTGATCTAGAGAAAGACCATACAATAATAAGTAATACCATTTAGCAGGAATTTATTTTATTTCATCACAAAATGAAAATTAGCATTATTTTCCCTCATTTTGATGCATCTAATAATGACCTGTTTAAAATGACCCTATTCATAAAAATCGTCAAAACATGGCAAAATTAGTTTTACCTTGACTACTACTTTTCCAGCCTTAATAATAAATTTCTAAAACTGATACAATTATTTTTTGGAAAGTGAGGACTGATTTTTTAAACTGCATGAATCGTCATGGATTTTCAACAAAAACAGTTTTCATTTTTCCTTACATGTTCTTTATATGTTCTACGTGTAATATTTTTTTAAACATTTGTACTAACGTTCTACAAGCTTTTGTATGCTTGAGTTATTGAACTGCATGGCCTATTAGGATAACCAGTCTTAAAATTATAGCCAATCTTTCACCTCCTCGTTCGTGGCTGAATTTTGAGAAACTAATAAAAATACTCAATGTCAAATCTCGGATTGTATTATAGGCAGTCAATTCGTTCCCACCCTTAAGATCTGATTCAATTTCAGGTTTGAATAGCAAAATATGATCTAGTATTCTCATTCAATGACAAACTTTCAGACAAAAATGAACCTCCGGATGCCTCGTATGGTCAAAAATCGAATCACTTGCCGAATTTCAAATTTAAGTGGACAGGTCAACTGTCTTAAACATTTTAAACTGACAGCAAAGCACGTTACAACAATACCAATGCAAATGCCGACGTTTAACGAGCAAGGTTTGTGGGGAGTTTAGTGAGCATTGTATGGCTTATAAGCTAATCTGATTCAGACTTTAGTTTCCGAAAAGCTTATGTATTTTATTTTATAACCGTCATTGAACAGCCTAGTCAATTTTGAGTTCACGATTACTAATATTCCACACCGTAGCCTTATAATTTTTAACCCAACCCAAATGACAAGGGAATTCCTAGATCAAGTATTGGTAGAAACCTGTCTTCGGGGAGAACTTTTTGGTGGATCTAGGCCGCATTTGCGTTACAGAGAGAGGATAACCACGAAAACCTCCCGCGGTTTAGCCTCATGGCAAGGGTACTCTAACCCATAATCCGTCTACCACTGATGATATTTTTCGTCAGCATTGTGGTCGGTGCGAGCCGGGTGCGGAATTCGCATCGACAAGCTATCGGATTCGAACCCGGGTTACCTCATTGGAGGTGGGAGCTCTGTCGTCACTGCCCGGCTTACGTGTTTATAAGACAGCATTGTTTCGAAGATTCAAAAGGATGAGGTATTTTTTGAGCTTCGTAGACTAAGTGAAAACCAACGTGCATAAAGCACAAATCAAGGACAGAAGTGGACATACTATAGTTTCGGTTCTAAAAACAAGAACCTTCTTCAGTGTCTAAACAAGAAAAAAAAACTTTCATCTTTCGTGATTTTTGTGTTTGTGTGTATATTTAGACACTAAGGAAGGTTCTTTATTTGAGAAAACTGAAATTATAGTATGTCCATTTCTGTACTTGATTTCTGCATTATTCACGTTGTTTTTTCACTTTAAATTCGAATATTGAAGCTTCCAAGAGTATTAAAAAAATATTTGTCTCAGTCGAACAACAAGAACCATCCTCAGTGTCTAAACAAGAAGAAAGAAACTTTCTTTGGCGACACTGAGGAAGATTTTTTTTATTTAAGAGAACCGAAACTATAGTATGTTCATTTCTGTGGTTGATTTGTGCTTTATCCAAGTTGCTTTTCGAGCATCGTTGCTTCTGAGGGTAAAAAAAAAAGGCTGTATCATTTTAATTACTTACCAATCTCCCAGCTTCATAATTATGCTTTAGCAATAGAGTTTTGAGATCACTTCGTTTTCTAAACCGATCATCCATAAATTCCTTTGATTTTTGATAGCCGAAATTGATATTGTCACTGCAACCGCCCCATTCCCACCGTTCTTCCGTGGAAATCTGGGGTGGAGGTGGAAGAGCAGCAGGTGGACTGCTTCTCTCGCAGGAGCAATCCAATAATTGTCCATAACTACAAGCCTGTGTGATGGAGAATATAATGCCTGCAGCAGTGATAGCGTTTACAAATCCTGTTTCTCTGGTATCTGAAGTAAAAGAAAGTGATGTTATCGAAGAGTATTAAGCGATGTTTTAGTTCAGTTAAAATAATAAGATATAAATAGATGGTATAGTAAACATGTTTAGTCAATTCTATGATACACTACAAATTCTAAAATGGTATAATAAATTATATTTTATTACTTATTTGAAGAAGTTGGTGAAAAAGAAACAGTTATTTGTTTGCGTTTTAAAAAAAATTAAAAAAAACAGCCATTGAAGGAGTAGATATATCTNATTACAGCAAGCTCATAATAGATTTTATTTATACTGAATGAAATTAAATTAAACTTTAGAATATTCTATATCGCCTTATGTTTCCTAAATTGTGCAAATTGACGCCTTAATGAGTTTAAGAAAACCGACTTTAAAATGTGTAGATATGTCTTTTTCATTTTTAAAATTAGCTTCTAAATTATATTTTATGTATTAGTTTTATATTTACATTTTGTACATGAACACTTTGTTGACCGGCAATTTTGCACAGAAATTATTAATCGTAAATTGTATTTGAATATTTAAATAAAGTAAAACATTCCAAATTAACTCCAATAGACATTATGTATACTGAATGAAATGAAATTAAATTTTGGAATATTCTATGTCGTCTTGGCTTTCGTAAATTTAAATAAATAATTCAATTGCAATGACGAGTTATCTCGTCAGCAGTCAACAATGTATTCAAATTGACGCTTTAATGAATTTAAGAAAACCGAATTTAGAATGTGTGAATATGGCTTTTTCATTTTTAAAATTAGCTTCTAAATTATATTTTATAATGTAATAGCTTTATATTTAAAGTACTCGTATTAAGCAAAAAGAATATATTAATTGACGTCTTAATGCATTCAAGAAAATCAGTTTTAGATTTAATCGAAAATAATACGATTTGAGCCATAATTTAAATTTTTTGACTCCTTTAAAATTGAAAAGAATCAAATTACTTATACTTACATTACATTTGCTTACGTAAAATACCCTTAATCGAGAAACAAATATGTTACATCTGGTGCATAAAAAAAAGTCGTATCATTTAAAGTTTTGAAGGGAAAATTATCAATAAAATTGTTTCATTTCTTAAAAAATTAAAGAAAATTTGAGGAAAGCAACAATTTTTTGAATAATTTAATAGGAATCATAATGTTGATGTACAGTTCACTTCAGCTATTTATGGTTTTGTCACTCAAAATTTTGACATTTCCGATTCTGATCTTCGCCATTTTGACATTGCTGTTGCTTTATTCTTTTCTTCTTTTTTTTTTTTTTNTTTTTTTTTTTTTTTTTTTTTTTTTTTTTTTTTTTTTTTTTTTTTGATCGTCACTTTGTACGGAAATCAAATTGATATAATTAGAAGAGACTTAAACTGCAATAAATGGTAATTAAGTTAACGACATTAATGACTTTGATATAAACAGACAAAAAGCTAATGTTTAAATTTATGTTATGTTCTTTGATTAAATGACAACTTTCATACTTGATATCTTAATCAGATTATAGTTATAAGTAATGTTGTATATAACTTACAAAAAGCATTCAACTTTAGTATTTCTTTGAAGAAAAATCCATTGCATGCTGGCTAGCTATAAAAACTGTGCGAGTTTTTATTCATTTGTTCAAATCAAAACTTCTGTTCAAATATTTAATAAAAGTAAGCAAATTGCCTAAAAACACTTAAACTGACTAAACCAATACTTCATTGTTTAACTTAGTAGAATATTGATGTTTTTGTAAATTAGCTTTGAAGTTAATAGATTGGCAATCGCAAATAAACCTTATTCCTTGATTTTATTTCCAACCTGCAAGTTTTCTACTTTTAAAAATTATTCATGGACAGTTTGTTTTCAAATACACGTCGTTAACACTCTAATTGCTACCTAGTGCTTTCATTCACTGATATAAGAGAGATTTAAAGACTTGAGAAAATAAATTGCTGCATAGTAAAATTACGCTAAAAAATACATTTCCGCGAGAAATCTCAATTGGCGATATTTAAAGGCTTAAGAAAATAAATCAATGTTGCATAGTAAAATAACACTAAAAAAAATTATTTCCGTGATGAATCTTAATTTTTTTCAAAGGTGTCGTTTAGAACTTTCTTCCCAAGCACTGTATTAACTGTGATGTTATACTTATCCGAATTAGGGGCTGAAAAAGTATTCCGAATCTGGCATAAAATCTAATACCGAATCTAGTGTTCGTGCTTACTTTAAAAAGTGTAGTTAAATCGAAACACTAATAATTGGGAAAGATTAAAGCAAGCTCAGATTGCCTTTCCTCTGTTCAAAAATTATTTTAGCCAATTTATGCGTGCCTTCGAAAACCCTCAGATGACAACGGTAGATAGTTTACTTGAAAGTTTGTCACACTCTCAAAATTAAAACTTTCACTTTTCGCAATTCAGCCATCCTTGAGCTATATTTCGTTAATTTTGAGAATCATTTCGTCATAAAATCGTGTGATTTCTGACGAATTGAGCACTATGAAATATATGACAAAAATGTTTCCTCAACTCGAAACCTCATCGCTATGCATTTAAGGAGATTTTTTAACTGTAATGACGAGTGAAGACTAGACGATCAAAACTAAAGTGACGAAGTATGTTGTATGATGGTCAAGGAGCAGGCCACGTATCAGGAGGATTCCGGGTTTGAATCCCTCTTTGGGCATGGGTATAATTTTTCTTTCTGTTCAACATGTCTTTCTTGTGGTGTTGTAAGGGGACATTAATCCAGCTATATAGTGCCCACGATAATGGGATTATTAGAAAAGTTCGATACACAAGACATTACGAGGCTTTTTTTTCCTTGGAAAATAAAAGAATAACAATATATATATTTTTTATTATTGACGGAATTTGTTTCCCGTTAGAAGTGATGATAGTCATTTCGTCACTTCGACAAAATATTCGCTCAGAGCATATATCAGGAAACAATTTCGTCAAAAATGAAAAAAATTCTACGAATTTTGAGCTAAACTGAAAAATTTCACAGATAAAACCAAATCAATCAATCAAAAAACAAGCTATGTTTCATTACAAAAGCATTTCGCTTAAAAAACAAGCACATTTTTAGTAATATATTTGCACTAATTCTTACAAGCAATTGTTATTTTGCTTATTTTATATAATTTTGTGCATGATAATTACAGTCCTGTATTTAGAAATGTATTTGGTATACAACAACACCAAAAATGAAGTCAAATATACACTAAAATTTTCCACAGTGTAATTAATATATATAAATAACTGTTTTCAAGCTTTTTTTTTCTAATCATGAGTAAAAAGAGTATTTTTGTGTATTTATAATTTATTAATGTGAAATAAGTTACAAATTTGACTTGATTCTTTTTTTAAAAAAAAGCATACATTAAAATATTAAAAGGTTATTTTTTGTACCTCTTAAAAGTACTTTCTTCAAGGATCTTTTAGCTGTGGTGCAATTCCATTTTCTAAATCGAAACTGATATTGACATTCTTGTACTCCAATTTTCGATCCTTCAGTGATAGCTGTCACAACTTCTGGTTCTTTTTTACATATCTGTGCTTGCTTCCCTCTCATACGACGCGTTTTCCGGCATATGCGGCCCGGATCTAGCACAAGATGGCGACCCATTGCCCTACAAGAACGAAAAAATAACAGTGTAAATATTGTCTTTTCTCAATAAATACCAACTATTTATCATTACACCCAAAGAGAAAGGTTATGTAAATACTTCTTGGTCGAGAAAAAAAATGGTAAGGTTAGGTAAATGGTAAAGGGTGGAGCAAAATTATGGTTAGATACTAGTTTTCTTTTACTTTCTTTATTTTTTTCGACTTTCCATTGAATAAATTTTACTTACTTTTGTAACCTTTTTGTTAAACAAGCTTAGAAAAGAGAGCCAGACGACTATAGATGTTTCTTTTTCTTAATTTTTCTCATTGTAAAACCATTATTTCTTATATTTTCAGTACTTTTGAAAGTGGCATAATATTTGTACTGTTTTATCACATGATCGTGGAGAAAAACAAATTAGTGTGTGTGAGTTTAATCAGTTTTTTTTTAATTTCTCCTATACTTCTTGTGATGATATAGTAATAAATGAAATAAAAACATTTAAACTATGCGAATTTACTTAAGTAATTAAATTTGAAAGGCCTAACCGTATTCGTCCAAGTGAGGTGTTTTAAAATGCTGATATCAAACTAGTTAATTTGATGGTTAGATAAAGTTGGCGACGAATTAAATAAACGAAAGTATTAAATAAACGAAAGTATAAAATAAACGAAAGTGTAAAATAAACTAAAGTATAAAATAAAGATATTTTGGTAAAAGAAATACAACGAGAGATTATTTTAAAGGCATGAAGGAAAAAAATAATGAATAAAAAGTTGTAAAAATGTGGAAAAGAACTAGAAATCGGTACCGTTTTATTATACCATTTTTACTAAATTATTCTTTTGGTCTCAAAGCTCCGAGTACTCCAGTTACTTTCTCTCATTTTGTTTGTTGTTTTGCTTCGAGATTTTAGTTTATAACACCGTTCAATTGGAATTGCGCTTCAAGAAGAAGAAGACCTTCCGTACCTTCACATGTGATCTATGACGTCAGCGAGAACTAATCTTTATCAGCAAAATGGCGTATTAAAGTTAAGCTAAGTTTCTCTATATAAGTTGGAATGTTAATTAACGATAATTTAATTAAATACAGTGCAGTATCATGCATCAAATTTGTTGAAATATAATTTTTTCTCGTCCTTGTCTCTTACTTAACTTAAATTTATTATTTGTTTATGTATTTTGCAGTAACCATGATATATTTTTGTTTTGTGTACGTGGCAACTTCGATGCATAATTAGTATGTTTAAGTTCCCCATGGCTTCGTGCCTATCTTTGTGTTAAGTAAGAAATATATAGTGAAAGAATTGAAATCTTTGGGAAAAAATCTTTGTTTAAGAATATAGACTGTGTCATTTAAGGGAATTGATACTTGAAGGGCTTGGCTCACTCGAAATAGAATGGGAAGAACAGTTGCTAACGTAAGCAAATGCCACGTTTCAACAACCAATCAGGATCGAGATACCCACTCTACGTCACTTGCAGGTATCAGGACATAATAGCATAGTAACGCAGTGTAGCCATTGATCTGACTTAACATTCGAAAGTTATAGCTTTTATGAACCTAATACTTCAAAAATTGGAGAACGACTGAGAGAAAATCATTTTTTGTAGCCTGCTTGTGTTTGATAAAATACAGTTAATCGCTCTTGCTACCACTTTATTCCATTCTATAAAATTAGTTATGCTACTATATACTAATTGCACTGATTATCTAAATGAAGAAAAAAAGATTTTATTTAAATTTAACTTCTTATTGTGCCGAGATCAATCACATTAATATGAAATTTATAATCTCAAACCTATTTCAGTTGAGGAATGAGAAATGTTTTAATTAATTTCTATTTATCCAAGATGAAGTGAAGAAGTTGTAAGTGGAACAACAGTGAGATACCTGCAAGTGACGTAATATGGATATCTCAATCCTGATTGGTTGCTGAAGCGTGGTATTATTTTTCTTACTTTGGAAGCTGCTCTTTCCATTCTATTTAGAATAAGACAAGTCCCATAAGTATCAATTGACATAAGTGACACATTCTATATTAGTTCGCGAAGATTTCGATTCTTTCTTTCACTCTATATATCTTACTTAACACAAAGACTTAAATAAGAAATCTTAACATAAGTGTTGAGATTTTTATTTAGCACTACATGACAAGAAGCCATGTAGAACAAAAACAAACTAATTATGCATCGAAGTTGCCAGGCATACAAAACAAACATATATCAAGGTTACAAAAAAATATACACAGTCGGACTTTTATTTAACGAACTTCCATTTTGCAAATTTCTCTATTTTGCGATTTTTTTCGAGGAACCAAAAACATTTTGGAAATTTCTTCTTAAAATAACTTCCATATAGCGAAGTTAATTTTCTATTTAACGAACTTTTCTTTGAGATCCACTTTCCCTATTTCCCAAAATATTTCAAAACATTTTAAACTTGTTAACGCATTTTATAGGGGGAATGACATCTTGAATTGATTTTCGAACCCACATAACTTTTAGAGAAACCAGTAAAACCCCTTTCCCTTTTTGTTTGCATTTCAAACTAAAAACTTAGACAAAATTAAGGGATTTTATCAGTAACAATTAAACTTAAGAACGCATGTGGTAATGTATGTTTGAAATTAGTTTTTTAATAAATGCAGCTATAATTTTAAACATAAATTTAGCTTTTTTTTAGTTGAAAATGTGTGGAGAGTGATAGGGTAACACTAGATAATGTTTTGCTCTATTCTTGCTTCCCATGCAGATTTCTTTTATGGTTAAGATTTATAAAATAAATAGTAAATACTAATTTACATGATAAAAGAGTATAAATTGCTATTTTAATTATGTTTAGTGCTTATGATTTTGAAACCTGTTTTGTTTAGTTTAAGTATTTCAAAAGGTGATTTTCTATTTAACGAGTTTTCCATATAACGAACTTATTATCGGGTTTTAGCGACTTCGTTAAATAGAGGTCCCACTGAAACAAATACTAAATCTAAATTAAGTAAAAGACGAGAATTATATTTTAACAAATTCATTGTCCGATGTGGAGTTTTATTTAATTAACATTAATTATAATCCAAACTATCTAAATTTTTTAATGCTTTCACTTGGCGACGCGGGTGTAAATCTTTTGGCGGAATGATTCAATTTCCTGCGTCTAGAATGATCGAAAACAATATTTAGTAACATCGACAGCATCGCTTCCGCTTACAAAAACGCCCACACATAGTAAAAGCCTCGTCCGTCTATTGTCTCAATTAAAGTTTTTTGTTTTTTTATTTTGTGAAAGGCCTTCGAGCGAATTATGTTTGTGTCACGGCGCGTGTGATTTCTTATCACAAATAACGTCGGGTATTTCCCCTTATTCCTAAATAAAATGAAACAGGTAGATTTTTTTTGTTTACTAAATTGGAGTTTTAATTGATCGAAACTCTGTACGTAAAATAAAGGCAATAAAAATGGTTATTACCATTAAAGTTATTGAAATTACGATTATACTTAATTTGTTACCAGTGGCATGCAGAAAAGGAGGCAATGGTTCCAAGCATCCAACCAAGGTTACAGCCAACCGGAGACTAAGACACTAAAACTAGAAATCTATTTCTATTTTTATTGTATTAATTTTTTACTCGGTAGATATTTAACTTAAGAAAATATTTTACGATGAGTAAAATATAATTTGCAATCAAATTTAATGATGATGTTTTATGTCATTAAAATTTAAATATTTTTTTAAGGAAAATTAAGACTATAATGAAATTTTCACCATAGAGTATAATTTCCTCAATTATTTAAATAAAAGTGAATTTAAAATATGGGTTTAGATTTTTATAAACATAGTATATGGTTCATTTGTTCCCCCCTCCCCCATTAGTTACAATATTACACTTTTTTGGGAGAATCTATTAAAGAAAATTTGCTCGAACATGCACTGCCCGCCACTGTTTATTCGAGAAAACATAAGTAGTCAGTCATTCAAAAAATTACGCAAGCTCCAAACGAGGGAGAGGGTTTGTAATTTGCTGTTATTTATTTACTATTGTTATAATTATAATTATTATGATTTTAATTATTATAATTATTATAATTATTATAATAACAATAATTATTATTATTATAATAAGAGAGAAAATCTCCTATTATAAGAAATAAGGGAGGCAGATTGTCAATTTTAAAAAGGCATCAAGACGGACAATTTTAACCATAGCCTTACTTGGACTCGTTAGGCAGGGGGGAAAATTTCAGGCTGATGATAAAAACTTTCTTTCAATTATTCTTAGATTAAAAATAGAGATTTAAAAAGATACAACTTTAAAAAGATAAAGATTTAAAAAGAGATCTTTTAAAAAGCAGATATTTAATTATATATTTGATCCAATTACATAGATTAAAAAATGTTAATTGTTAAGCAGAGGCAATCTAGATACGAGTCTTAAGAGTTAAGATTTTCATTGCAAATTCTTTTTCATCTCTATTAGTGATTTAAAATTTAAAGTATTGATAAAGTGAGTTCAGGCAAACCTAAGAGTAATTCACGAAGTTTCAATTGCTGAAAAGAAATTTTCAAAATATCAAAATGAAAACAAATTATGTGAGGATAACTTAAGATTCCAGAATGGAGAAGTTCTCTTCAGATAATTTGCTTGCATTCTGAAATTTTTTATCAGCAATTGAAACTTTATGGCATACTCTAGGTTTGTATGAACTTACTTTTTCTAAACTAGAATTTTGAATTAGTTATAGAGATAAAACAGAATTTGTGATCAAAATTTTCTCTTGTGGTATAGCGTCTTCTTGAGGCACTGAGCTCTCATTGTGAAGTATTGATGTTTAATCCACCGTTGCTGCTTAATCCTTGGCCAGTAAAGGCAGTCAGTTTATAAAGCATCATGCCGTTGGTCGCGGTATTGTGGAGCCTAAACCAACATAACTTTTTGGGCCAATAATGGGCTGTTACGGGAACGCTTAATATTTTTTTTCAAATTAGAAATATTAAATATTATAATCCCAAAATAAGCAATCC